AGAGAAGACAAGAGAAGACAAGAGAAGACAAGAGAAAAGAAAAGAAAAATCTCCTGGAGATTTTCTGTACTGGTACTTTTTCATGTACTATGCAGTTATTTTTTAAAAATTCAGCTTTGCCTATTTAATCTGCTATGAAAATATACTGAAAGATAATGTCTCAAAAAATTTTATTGCTGGTCTTTTGAACATGCTGGAAAAAAATTCAACTTTCTGAAGCTTATAGCCAACTTAAGAGAAATAGCCACTGAAATATTAACTATAAGCTCTAAAAAGTTTTAATTCACAAAACCTAAAAGGATTAGTCATAAAAGTTATTTGAGCCAGAAAGTTCATACCTATGAGCAGAAATTTATAGTCAGACTCTAATAAGAAAAATAAGAATTTCTTAAAATTACTTTTAAAGCCATTGCCGATAAAAAATAGTGCAAGAGCACCCCCTAATGTCCACAGCATCTCTTGACAAGATGAGAGGCAAAGCAGAAACCCTGGAGCAGGCCGGCTTCCCCCAGCCATAGCAGTACCATGGTTTGCACAGATCTGAACATCCGGGTGATGTTTCCCTTCTACACACCTCTCTTCAATCTTTCAGGTAGTACATTGCTACAGGGTTCCTGCCAAGGGTCCCAGGTGGCAACGAGTCCTGGAGGAAGTACACAATTAATCACGCCAATGTGCCTTTACTTACCCTAGATGTTAAAAATACCACGAAATCATCAAAATCATGTGAAGAGTTTAACCTGGGAAATATTTTCTTGCCATCATTTTCAATCCCCAGGAAAGAAAGAAAGAAAGAAAGAAAGAAAGAAAGAAAGAAAGAAAGAAAGAAAAGAAACCATCATAAAAAGAATTATGTAGTACTCCAAACACTCAGAGAAGAAAGTGACCCTTAGAAGCTGGGCAGGATTATTCAGGCAGGTTGTGGCCATCAGAATCAAATGAAGAAGGGCCGGTGAGATAGCTCAGTGGACTAAGGGCCTGCTTTGGCAGGCGCAGGGACCAGGGTTCGATCTCCCATCCAGCATGCCACGATGACCCCACCCCAGGGGCACGCTGAGCGGGCGCTGAGTCTGGGTGTGGTGGCACACGCCTGTAATCCCAGTGCTAGGGAGGCTAAAGACAGGAGGATCACCACAAGTCTGAGCTGCATAATGAGATCCTTACCAAATGCATATTAAAAAAAGCACTGAGCAATGAGATGTGCTGTTTGCATGGCTCTCTGTTTTAAATTTTTTAATTCAAATGCCTTTCACTGGAGGCATCAGCTCTTCAGTTTGCAGCCAGGCTCACCTCATCCCGCAGTCCAGAGCATATATTCATTTTGCATGCACATCTTTGTGTGCCTGTGTGTAGGTTTGTCATCCCCGATTTGGATAAACACAAAAAGAGAATTTAAAAGAAGAGGGCTGGCAACCTAGAGGAGTTTGAGTAAAAATACCAGGGAGGGATTAGTATTGTGGATAAGCTGTGGAAAGTTCTGCAAAGACAAGCACCCAGCAGGGATAAAGTCATCCAGGCTTCCTGAAAAAGAGACAGCTACAATGAGCAGGGAAGCTCTGGAAAAGTGTGGTGTGGGCAGATGAGGTCAGCAACAGGCTGGGGTGCACGCTGAAGTCCACCCTGGACTGGTGAGCAGTGCCCCCTGCAGGGCTCCGCAGAGGAGGAGCTGCTGTAGGAGGCAGGAGCTGCGCCTTGGTTGCTATTTAAAGAGAGTTTGCCCTTGGTTTCAGTACATCGATTCTGAGCTGCCCCCCGAGTCGCCCTACCTCTATGGCCTCCACCCCAATGCTGAGATTGGCTTCCTGACTCAGACCTCAGAGAAACTCTTCCGCACGGTGCTAGAGCTGCAGCCTCGGGATGGCCAAGATGCAGAAGGAGCTGGCAGTGCAAGAGAAGAAAAGGTGCAGAATGGGGGTTACCTGGAACAGCTCTGGGGAGTCACTCTTCTGAGTGACAGCATTGCGAGTGCTCAGTGTGGGTAACATGCAAAGGCACTGAGCAGCCAGCCTTGAGATGCTGGCCCTTCTCCTGCGTGAGTGGCTTTGCGGCCCAGCCATGCAAAACACTGACCCTCTAGTTCAACATTACATGTCTCTACCATTGGGGTTTTCTGTGCAGATAGTCTTCATTTAGTTTGTCCGTCAAAGAGAAGGAAGGCTGGGTAGTTGAGAACCTTAAAATTGACTTCATAATTCTTTGGCATAATAAGCAATGATGGATGCAGAGATGCTTTCAAACACCTCAATCCTCCTCCAGCAACTAGATGTGCATTTGGATAAACATGCGTCTCTTGATGAGAAGGCTTTCTCTTTGTGAGTGACTCCTGGTCAGTCTCTGCATGCATGATTAATTGCTTCTGGACATGGGATTTCCTAAGGTTTCTTTTATTCCCCCGTATTTGAACACATTCTTTTTTTTTTTCTTCCATAACTTTATTAAGAAACCAATAGCAATGAGACAGTTTCAAACCAAATTGGTAGGACAGTTTCAATAATTAACACATTGCATACATTCTTACTAGTGGTTAATTGCTGTACTTGATATCCTATTTACAAACACCATTAGAACAAATCATTCTATTCATTAAGAGAATGTAACTATATATCTATCCTAACCACTTTGAATAAAATACAAAATGGGCATTCATCTATATCCCCTTTTTTTGGTGAGTTCCACCATTTAAATATTATGGGTGTGTAAACTCAGCAAAATATTCTAAAAGAGTCCAGTAGTCCATAATAGTATTGGGCCTTCCGCTTGACTGGCAATGTCAGAAATTGTTGACCTGAGTCCCCTACAGCTCAGCATAACAGCATGGCTTACTTCTTATACTTCATTTTTATACTTTTCTGCTGGATGGTTAAGACCAAGGTAAAGCAGGACCTATGCAACAAGAGTTGTAGCTTTTTCTCCTAAAGTTTCTGGAAGATGGAGTAAACTATGGAGTAGAAGACAGACTGGGTGAGGTTGAGTTTGAGAATAATGGAGGCTCTGTTCCTGCTATAAGGATAGCATAGAGTAGAAAAACTGAAACCTCCCCATGCAATTTTTCCTGAGACAGGCTAACTAAACTTTCAAAAGATGTGTGTCCACCACTCACATCTCTCACCACACTGCCTGGATTCCTTTTCTTAGCAACATAGTATTACTGGGTTAATAAGGAAACATCACTGGAAGATTAAGAGTTAGGAACGAACCCTGGGTGGTCATCAAACTTAGAATTCAGGCTGAGTTTTAGAAGCAAGGTGATTGGCACTAAAGGAGTTGGACTTATGTTTAAAAACATAGAGTGGTGTGATCAGAACAGTAGCTCTCAGTGTCTAATATGCCTAAGACTGAGCCAGAGAGCTTGAAATTATGACTGTGAGGATTGGGACTGTTGTTTAAGTAAGGAAGGAGGGAAGGAAGAAGGAATAAAGGGAGGGAGGGAAAAAGGAAGAGATGGAGGAAGAGAGAGAAGGGGAAGGAAAGAGGGAAGGACGGAAGGGAGGGAGGAAGGGAAGGAGGACAAGAGGAAGAAGACGAAGAGAAGAAAAGAAAGAAGGAAAATTAATTCTGATTCTAACATTTGGAGTTAGACCCCAAAACTGGAGATGAATCAACTTCTTTAAATCATACTACTCAGCTAATTCCTCTAGTTCATAAAGATATAATTTGAGAATAAAAGGAAAGAAATAATCCAAACCACCCAGAAATACAAATATTCTTAGCTCTAAAAATAAAGAAGGCTGACACTCTATAAGAAATAGCCTTAGGATTCTTCAGGTAAGGTTCAGAACAGCTTCTAGTCTTTGTCATGCACCTATTCTTCCCCCTAGAAAATCAAGAAATTGTGTGTGTAAGGGAGAGAGAGAGAGAGAGAGAGAGAGAGAGAGAGAGAGAGAGAGAGAGATGCTGTGTGGGGTGAAGGTGCAGGTTATGGGACGCTTGTGTAATTGTGCCGTGTGCCAGGACCCAGCCATGGAAGCGTCTCTCTTCTCACTGCAGTAACAGGAGCTTTGTTCTTTTCCATCCTCAAGATGGAAGAGGTGAAGAGCCAAAGCCCAGAGAGATCACTTGATCATTAGGTATCAAGGACTGTGGAGGTTGCAGGGACTCCATATATTTTGGGCTCAAATTTACTCCCAAATCCACATCTCCATGCTGGGCAGCTGGGGATGTTAGGGCTGTTTCCTCAAATCCTACTCTAGACAGAAATATGCTATAAATTTAGCCATTTGTCTTCCATCCTGGCAGCTGCTTTCAGGTACCATTAAAATTCCATTCCAGTTTTTGCTATGACAGCACCAGAGACCCATTTATGAGGGGGTGATGGGCTTCTAGTTTCTTTTTCTAACATCAGCTCTTTTCCTGGAGGATGTACTGTTTGTTAACATGAAGCAAGGTGAATATTAACATCCTTTCCATTTATATAGTTCTTCATAGCTTTCAGACACTGTCACATTCATCAGCTTATTTGATTCGATCTTTGCATCAACCCTGGGGGTCAAGGAAGAGGAGCTGGCTAGAAAAACACTTGGAAACTTGTACAGATGAAAAAGATTGAGACCTGAATGACTTGCTCACTTTCACTTGAGTGTAGTGGAACTGTATTAGTGCGATCTGAGTTCTTTGGTTGTAAGTAACAGACACTGATCTAGATGAACCAGGCAGGAAGAAGCCTACTATATCACAGGGACCACCATACAGAAGGGTAACAATCACAGAAGTTCAGGTAGAAGGAATAGTGGGCAAGCTTCTAGGACACCTCCATCTCTCTTGCCTACTTGGACCCTATGTTTCAAATTTTCATGCTCCTCTGGAAAATAATCTGACTGAATTAACATGGGTCAAGAGAGGTAGGATCCAGAGACTGCGCCCCAAAACGAGAGGGATGAAGTAATTTTTCAAAGGAGACAGAGACCTTGTCCTAGAAGGCAAAAGTGATGATACACAAGGACAACCACTGTGCACAAAGGCCTTTAGCACTTGGCTCTCAAAACCCCAGGAAGGGCTGGCACTGGCGTGCATGCTACCACCCATCTCACCTTGCTGACCAAGTGGTCTGTTAGGTCCACACTTTGTTCTATTTTTCTTTCTCCACAGACAGACCTCCAGAGCTTATTCATTTACTCCAAAATGGCAGACTCAGCCTCCAAGTGCTCACCCCAAAATAACTCAGCATCTCTGTACTTCAATTCCAATTTTCCAGGAGCGAGACCCTGATTGTTTAAGCTCCCTTGGTCTAATAAGCTGACAGCCTGTGTGGGAAGTAGAATCTTGAGTAGAAGAGGAGGCTAACATGATAAATGGCAGTGCCTCTTGCAGAACTTAAGGATAGAAACTGTGGTACTGCCTCATAGAGACAAAACTATGTGTATTATGTGTGTGGATGGGGTGTGTGTGTTATCAGTATTCACAGGGATTTGCTTCTAGGATACACACACACACACACACACACACACACACACACAATTTGCATGCCCACATATATGTGCTAATGAGATACCAAGTCCACAATGCTTAAGTCCTTATGCAAAAGAGCACACTATATGCATATAGCCTAAGCACATCTCCTTGTTTACTTTAAATCATCCCTAGGTTACTTATAATACCCAATAAAATGTAAACATTACATAAATGCTTGTTATACTGTATTGTCTAGAAAATAATGGCAGGAGAAATGTCTGCATTGTTCCGCGGAAGCACCATGTATGCACACACATTTCTGAACACTGCTCCTCATCACTGCAACTTTACACGGCTCCCAAGGGCCATCTGAGGCCACCATCTACTTGTGGCTCGCTAGTTTGATCTCCACAGTTAAGTAGGTCAGCTTCTGCATTTTTCAACTGCAGTTCTTACAAAGGTACCTGTGTTCATCTCTTCAAGCTGCTCACCGAAGGAACAGAGAGCTGGGCAGCCTGTGGAGGGACCATCCTTCCCATGGTCGTGCCTTGACCCCAGACCCAGTGAACTGACATGAACGGGCAGAAACATGGCCAGGCGATGTGGGTGGAGGGCAGCAAGTGGTGGGAGATAGCATCTCAAAGGCTGAATGCAGGAAGGGTGGAGTGCTCCCAGAGAACCACAGCTCCCTCCTTAACTCTGTGCGCTC